TTTCATTATTTTATCATAGTTTACAACAGCAAAATTTTCGTAAGCAATTTAAAGAGAGTACTAAAATTGAGGACATTGTTTTAGCTTATCTCAAAATTGCTCAGGATGAACTAAAAGAAGCTCAAATGCCTGCTAATATCAAATGGCAAGCTAAACTTACAGAACATGTTGTTATATTTGTGGGCATATTGAAAGAATGTCTTTTAAAAACTTCATCGGTAACCCCTGAAATGATGTCACGACTAGAAATTTATTTAACCAAGATGTCTGGTGCGCCTAAAGTTCCACCGACCATAAATGGGATTAGTACGAATGTTGAAGATATGGCCATGGTTAAAATAGTTCAAGCGATTTTCAACATTCCTCCTAATCAAGCACAAAAAGATGTCAATGCATTAAAAAATATTTGTAGTGAACAAGTAAGTTTATAGCTCATTATTTATTATTTAATTATTTCTGTTTAGAATTTAAATTTATTTAGTTTATTTTATTTTATTTTATTTTTTTTTTTTTTTAAAAAAAATAAGTCTGCATTAGAAGATCTTCGGAATATTATAAACCATGTAAATCGTGGCGCAAATTTTCCTGCTTGTAGAGATGATTTTGATTCGGATGAAGCTTATAACAATTGGAAAAGAATCGAGTTGAAACAAATTACAGAAAATATTGCTTTCATGATTGCACTTAATCCAGACTTAAATCTTAAAGAATCTACAGAAATACGAGAGACTATTTTGTCAGGACCAAATGATAAAAGGTCATCGGTAGCATCAAATCCGCGACGCACAACATTCACAGGATCAATGCATCCTGAAACTATGAACGATGCTTTTCGTCAATATGAAGAAGCACGTTCAACTGAACGCTCCATTGATTCACAATATCAACAACCAGGTTATACACATCCTTATAATCCACAGCAGTTACAATCAAAATACCATCACAGTAATCAAACACCATATCCACCATATAGTAATCCACAACCAACATATCCATATCCATCTTATAATAATCAACCATATCCACCAAATAATAATCAACAACAATCACATCCATCATATAATAATCAACAGCAACCGCCATATCCTCCTTATAATCCTCCATATCATCAGCCACAGAATTCAGTTAATGAACCTAAAGAAGCAATTAATCCGCCTATTGAGGTTTGTGTTAATTATGATAATTGTTCAGATTAATGTTTATTAATATCACCCTTAAATTATTTCATTTAGTCAAGTAGTCAAGGAGATTCTTTTACTTTTATTCCGCAACATCCTCGTAATTACTACAAGTATTTGATGTATAAGTGTATAGATTACGAGTTAATGTCACAGGAAGAGGCTTCATTTAAGATCCTTTCAAAAAATACTCTGGATTTTCTTAATGAATGTGGACTACGTTGGAGAGTTTCGCCTGCATTTAGATGGTTGCAATATTTAGATGCGATCAAAAGTCGATATGATAGTCCTGATCCTGAAATCAATTCTCAGATTAGCTTGGATCACTTAAAGGAAGGTTTTCATTTATTGAATGATGCAATCAAGAAACGGCCTATTAATACATGGACTATTTCTGATGTTTGTATTTCTATTTCTATTTCTATTTCTATTTATATTCTGTTTTCTTTTATTTATATAAAAAATTTATAACCAAATTTTTTCTATGATGTAGAAAAGGGAACTTATTGAAGTAATTTCGGGAATTCATGACTCTTTATTAAGAGACCTGAAAGATGGATTATCACAATACTTCAGGATTAAACCTCAAAGTTTTGAACCGATTTTGTCTTTGATACAGACAATTTATGAAAATGAATTGTTTCAAGAACAATATTCTAACGTTCTATCATCATTGTACAATGAACATAGATCTATTGTTATTGTAAGTACCTTTACATTATGCTTTTATTATTGTCGGTAGTACCTTTTCTAAATTTTATTAGTTTTTTTTAATATAAAAGGAAGTAGCGATTAAAAAATACCAAGAAAAGAGAGACAAAATTTATAATCAAGCTGCTAATGAGGTTCATGCCTTAATATCTATTGTTCGATCATTTCAAGAAGACTTGGAAAAATTACGCGTCAAATTCCCAAAACCTTTAATAAAGTTTGTAAAAAAAAAAAAAGTTTATTCATACTATTATTTAAATGGTTTGCGCACAAATTCGTCTGCTGTTTAACAATTCCAAACATTTACGGGAAGACTTTACAGTTAGTAACATACTCTTTTTTTTTATCATTATTATCATAATGTAGCCAAGTCGATATTACTTGCTTGGTAATTAGAACGCAAATTCCTCTTTTTATTGCGGATATGGAAAATGCTACATCTGAAATCTTAAAAAAAGTCAAAATGACTTCTGAAGAAGGAATTCCCGTTGAAGATATTTTTGAATTATACAGAGAAGTTCTCGTTATCAAACAAGTCTTTTTAGAAAATTGTCATGGGTGGGTTATCGTTTTAACAATTCGTTAATAATGAAGTTTGATTTTTGTTTGATAAGTGATTTTGCTTTCCATATTAAAAGTTTCCAAAAGATGTATTAATAACTATGCATAAATATATTTTTATATATATATTTTTATAATCGATTTGATAATATTATAGTGAAAATTTTACTTTTAATATTCAAGAGTGGTTTGGACCTCATGTTCGTAAATGGTTAGAAGCTATGGACTCTAAGACTCCAGAATGGGTAGATTCTGCAGTTAAAGTTGATAAGGTGAAGTTCCATTGTAATAGTAATTATTAAATATTGTTGTATTATTCTTACATTAATTTTTACTGTAAACAGTTCAAAGCAGTTAGTGCTACAGACAGCCATTCTTCTTCCGTAGTAGATCTTTTCACATCTTTTAATCAAACTATTGACTTTCTTAAACGACTAAATTGGCCAAATGACTTCCAAAGTGCTCGTTATATGACGAGCTTATCTAGGGTAAGTTAATTTTTTTACTTCATATTACATACGTAATAAAATTTATTAATTTAATTTATAAAATAGACTGTTAGTAAGGCTTTAGAGCAATATTGTAATGTTATAGAGGGAAAGTTTAAGGTGGACATGTTTCCACCGGAAGAAACCGAACAAATTGCGTCAAAACAATCTGCTTGGTATATTAGAGCCAAAACTGCCATGGCAACTGATAAAGCTGTTCCTTTGGATATTAAACCTGAGGTAAATTGTCAGATCCGAGACCTTTTGTTAAATACTTGTAATCAAATAATTTTTTAATCGCATTCATAATTAATTTAATATTTTAATCCCATTAGTCTTGCATTAAAATTAACAACATTGAAGCAGCACGTGAGCAACTTGATAGTTTGTATAACACAATGGATGTTGATTATTTAGCTCAAATTATTCGTGATTCAGACCAAGCACCGCCCGTTCCGGAAAAGGTGGAAAAAAATAGATATCTCTACACAATTAAAATAGTTCAAGCAGAAAATTTACCTGCACTTGATACTAATGGCTCCAGTGATCCTTACTGTGTGCTTTCTGACGAAAAAGGAATGAATTTAGTTCGGACTCGTGTAATATATGAAACGTTGAATCCACGTTGGGACGAAGCATTTGATATCACCATTGAATCTTCAGACAAAATGCGTTGGTTATGTGTTACAGTGTGGGACAGAGATCAAGTTGGTTCTGATGATGTATGTGGGAAAGCTTATATTAAGTTAGATCCTAAATTCTTTGATGACTTCTTGGCTCACGATGTTTGGCTAGATTTAGATCCACATGGTCGAATATTATTGAGAATAAGTATGGAAGGAGAAAAGGACGACATTCAATTTTATTTCGGAAAAGCGTTTAGGACATTAAAGCGTGCACATGATGATATGGCAAGAATAATTGTTGATAGAGTACGTATATGGTTTGGTTATGATTTTCTTTTTATGAATTAAATTAATGTAGATAATTTTTTTATCGTGTAGTTGTCTCCATTTTTGAGAAAATGTTTATCAAGAGATGTCATTGCAAAACTGGTGAAAAACCCCACTTTTCCTTTTAGTAAATCAAAGAGAATTGAATTGACAGATATGCAAATTGAAGAAGTGATTCATCCACTCTTCGATTATTTTGATCCTAACTTAATGACGCTTAATAGTTATCTACATCCTGTGGTGTTTACAAAGGTCATGACTAAAGTATGGAAAGAAATTGAATCTATTATTGAGGAACTTTTGGTACCTCCTTTATCAGATCGACCTTCTGAAATGAAACCTCTTAATGATACTGAGGTTGACGTTGTAATTAAATGGCTAAAGGTAAATGATTATTTTTTATTTGTTAATTCATTATTTACAATAATTTGATTTAATCAATTCATTATTATGTGATATATAGTTCCTTCATAATTATCTCCATGCTGATGGGAACGGTTTATCAAAAGAAGAAGTTCTTGAAAACCAAAAGTATCTTGATATAATGTCGATAAGATATTATTATGATATGGAAACCGATACACTTATGCAAGAATACGTTAATAATCAAGTCACAAGTACGATGACTGTTAAAAAATCAGAAAGCATTAGTAAATCAGTAATGAATTCACGTAATTTAGGAACAATTAAAAACAGAAAATCTCAAAAACGTAAAAATACTAGTCAGGATAATAGTGAAATTATTTTAAGAATTTTAAGAATGAGATCAGGTACCAAAGTATTTTTGAAACAACAAATGGAAGAACGAGCTAAAAAGCAGGCTATTTCCTCTCAGAATTTAGATAAATAAACCCTTTCATACTTTTTTTAAATTAAATTATTCAATACTTATTTATGTTACGGTTAACCATTTTAACCATTTTATAATATTCTTTTATACTTTATTTTATCTTGTATTACAATTTTGAAATATATATATTATAGTTATTATTACTTTGTGTGTACATATTTTGTGAAAGAAATATATTTTAGAATAAAATGGCTTATGAATACACAAATAAATCGTTTATTATCACATATCTTATTAATTGGTTAAGTATGGCAAATAATTACAAACAAACCTTTTCAACCAACTTATCATCCAAACCTGCATTTTTCATTAATTGTAACAAACTATTCTCAGCTTCATCAATCTCATTTACTAAATCATCGATTGTCTGAGTGTTCTTTTCAATTGATCGCAAATGTAAGGAGAGAGATTTTTCAATCTCGCAAAGTTGATCATCCTTTTCGGGCTTTAATAGATCATAACGATTAAAACAAACAATTAATATAAAATGAATAATAATAAATATTCTTACATCATATAAGCATGATGATTTGTCCCTTAATGATGGTTTAAAATGAAATTTAATTAATTCTTCGTCGATTTCAACCAAGTCTTCTACTTCTTCTTTTAATAAAGGATGTAGCTAGGGTTTAATAGGAAAAAAAAAAAGAATTTCTCTTTTAAGTAATTATTATTATTATTATTATTTTATCTTCTCATATCCACCTTGTTCCGCTGAAGCATTTTATTTCGACTGTCTACAGCCTTTTTGTCACTACGGAATATAGCCAAACTCTTTGAATCTTCTTTCAAAAGTCTAAAATCAAGAAATGTTAACATCGATGTAAAGTTTTTAATAGAATCGATTAAATAAAAATACTTGCAATTTCTCGTGTTCAAGTTGCATTTCCATTTGGCTGATCTGCTCCAATTCTTGCGCAAGTGTCAACTCCAATGCTCGCTACAGTGTAATATAGAAATATTAAAAGGTTACTTAATATCACTAGAAATTTGATTTTAAAATTAATTACATTTTGAGAATGAAGTTTGGTATAATCAAAATTGCTATTTTTTGATGTTTTTGGAACTTGAAGTGTTTCCAACTTTTCATCAATTCTTTTTTACGCGTGAAACAAACAAGAATTCAGTTAATTGATTTTATATATATGATAAATTTAGTGAATAATCATAATAAAAATAATCATTTACTTTGTAATAAGTTTGTTTAATAATTCTTGTAAATTATCCTTCCTCTTTGTACCACGAATACTATTTAGCACAACACTACAGGGATTTTTTTTTTTTTTTTATAAATTAATATATTTTAAATAATCAGTAAAAAAAAAAAGTTATTTATTGAATTCTTACGGAACAGAGCTCAATATAAGATCATGGATATGTTGTCTCGTTTTTGGACTTAAGGATTTCCAATGTATATCATTCGTGTTTTGAGATATCGAACGGGTAGCTGATGTACCCTGCGAAGCTAATTTAGAAAAAAGGTTAATATAAAAACGTGCCAAATAAATAATCATTTAATTCTTTTTGAAATACCGCTTCTCGTAGTTCGTGAAGTACCCTTAGTTTTTTTATTTAGTCGAAAAGAAGGTATTTATTTAAACAATTAAAACAATTGAAAAGATGTTTTCTACGTAATAAATCTAGTTACCATTATGAAAATTTAGAATAGACGCGTTAAATTTTGGAAATCGGTGGTTTGGTTTTAAACGTTTTTTTAAACGCGCATTATTTATCCAGTAAATCTGTTTTAAATGATATGATTGGCTATGATTTTTGTTTGGGTATATTTTAAAAGTAATTCTGGCCCGAATTTGAGACTAACCATTTTAGTTACACAATTATCATGAAAATGGTTATTTTCCATCACTTTTAAATTTTTTGTTACTTCTCTTTCTTGATCTAAAAATCAAACAAATTGCAATGTCACAATTGTGAGTAAGGAAAAATATTTCTTGAAAATTAAGTTATTCATGCTTATGTCTTTATAATATTTTTAATCGTTTCAGTCGGAAGCGTAAATTGGACGACGAAATAAAGAAACAAAAATCAATAAAAGTAGAAGCTAACAGCGATGCGTCTATGTACAAATCTCCTTCGATGACACAAGGTTTTGAAATTAATGATTCTAACCTATCTGCAGGTTAACGTTTCGAGTCTTAATAATTATGGTTTTTTAATATTTATTCAAAACAAATTCTAAAAAAAAAGTATTATTATTGTTGTCTTATAACAGCTTCTGTTGATAAAGGAGACGTTTTTAATAATGACGAGGTATAAAAATACGCGTTTCCTTTTAATTTTTAATTTCATAATTATAATTTATTTTCTTATCTCTCATTTCATTCTTGATTTGTAATTATTTCAGGAGCATAAACAAAGAAAACAGGCAGATGTGGAACTTATTAAAGATATAATACCTAATGATAATAAAAACAAACGGGTTTTCGGTTATAATTCAGAAGTATGTATATGGTCATTTTTAATGGATACAAGCTGTCATTCGCATCTTATTCATTTTAATTAAGATTAAATTCCTTAAACTTTATAATAGAGGCAATTTGCTCCAGGTAAATCACTTGTCAACTCGTATGTAAAATTCGTAGGAATGCAATTTGCTTGTACTCAAAAAAAAAAGATATTAGTGTCAATTCCTTGGATACCATACTGTCTAGTATTAAAATCCGCAATGATGATAATTAAAATGGCAGAGTCGTTATATTTTATTTATTAGCCTGGATCACTCCTTAATGATTCCTTTTTCTTTTTTTCCTCAATTGACTCATAGCTCCAGGAATCCCGGGACAACATGTAGAACCTCATCGTCTTAGAGAGTTGAGGTCAAGAGTCAGAGAGTTAGTTGGAGTATCGAAGTTAGTTGGTTTTTTTTTGTTTTTTAAATTCAAAGTATTTAGAGCGGTTATGTGCTGAAATAACGTAATAATTATCAACTTTTTATTATTTCACGTCACATGACCGTTCTTTAGTATAAGGTTTTCACTTGATAGTTATTATTCTCCTATAAACAAACTGATTTTTTTTTAATTTTCTTATATATTTTTTCCTATAATAATTTTTTTTACAATAAGTTTCCCTGGTATGTGATATTCACTTTATTTATCCATCCTAATAATTATCAGCATCATTAACATTTATTTTCTTTAACAGGAGCGCAACCAATTAGTTTTAGTTCCGAGCATATACAGGAATTGCAAAATGAAGAGTTAGTATTTTGTATTAATTTTCATTTGAAAAAATAAATAACTTAAATCGTTGATCTTTTTTTAGTTATTATGTTTGTGAGAAAACAGACGGAACACGTGTATTAGCTTATATTACATGTGATAGTCCTGGGAAACCAGCTGTTTTTTTGGTCAGTATTATTATTTATTTAAACATTTGATATGCATTTACATTTAGAAGCATAAGAATTCACTTACTAAACGAAGATATTACAGATCGATCGCAAGAATTATTATCGATTAATTCCAAATTTATTGTTTCCTATTCCTGAAGACCCAACATTTTCAAATTTTCATAATGAAACAATAATAGATTGTGAATTAGTAAATGATACTGAAAATGATGGAAATGTAAATATAGTAATATTTTTATTGTTTATTAAAAATTATAAGTTTTCATTGATTTTTTATTGTTGGTTTATTGTTCTTATTTAGGTTTCTCTAAAGCTTTTGGTTTTCGATTTGTTAGTAATGGATAAAAAGAACTTCATGAATAAGCCTCTTAACAAAAGATTGGGCGTAAGTTACATAGATTATGGAAACGTATATTATAATTCTATATATATTAATTGACAATTCTTTAATTTTCAAAGTATCTTCGTGATTATATTATGACCCCCTATGAAAAAATGTTGCGTAAACGTTCGGACCTTGCGCAATTGCAACCATTTTAGTGAGTATTATTATTTTACTTCGATTATTTGTCACATAAACGATCAATTCTAACCTTTTTTTTCCTTACATAAAAAAAGTGTAATAAAGAAAGAAATGGAATTTTCTTATGGACTAGAAAAAGTTTTAAAACAAATTATACCATCTTTAAAGCACAAAAGCGATGGATTAATTTTTACATCATTAACATCAGGTTATTCGACAGGAACTTTCGAGAAAATGTTAAAATGGAAACCACCAAATGAAAATTCCATTGACTTTAAATTACATTTCGAATTTCCAAGCCATAATGAGAATGCTAAACCGAGATTTTGTCTTTATAAATGGATACAAAAGGATGATCATAGATATTTTGATGATATGTATGTTACCGATGAAGAGTGGGAGCAGTTGTAAGTAATTAACGATTTTATTGAAATTATTCATAAATAACAATGTTGATTAACCAAATGATTCTTCGCATAAAGTTGGAAACATGATTTTCAACAATACGAAGGACGTATTGTTGAAGTGGTTTATAATCCTTCAATGAATCCACCATGGAGGTTTATAAGGTTTCGCGATGATAAACCACACGCAAATCATCATACAGTAGTTGAAAAAATAAAACAAAGTATAATGGATGGAATAACTGAAGAGCAGGCACTTTTTTTTTTCTATTTTAAATTATTACAAACGGTATACCATTTTAACAAGATAATCTTACCTCATAATTTTATTTATTTTATTAGTTACTATCAAATACATCCAAAATTCGAGATGCATGGAAGAAAAGAGAGGCCCTAAAAAACCAACAATCGCGTCATCACATAAACGAATCAAGGGATAGAAGATGAAGCTTTTAAAGAATATAGCCATTGATGGTGGATTACCAAATGCTTTATTTAATAATCGATGTCAATTGTCTTTTTATCTTTATGCTTAAAGGAAATTTATTAAGAAAATCATAACGTTTCTGGAAGGATATAATAAGAACGTATTTATTATTTTGTATAATCGAACATATTAAAGAACTTTATAATCAAATTTGAATTTTTCAATTTTATCCAATAAATTACTATCACTATATATAGAATAATAAAGTTTGATTGTTTCCCAATATATTATTTAATTATTAAGTGCCATTATCTATTTTATTTTTGGAATCCTATGAAAAATGTAATTAATTTATGAATAATGTTACCGTTTAAAGTTATCGTATGATTTACTGAAATTTCTCCACATTAGGTAAATCATAAGTTTGTTGAATAATTATCGAAAATTATTAATTCAATCCCACCTTTTGTTAGAATGACGTCTATTACTTGTTTCCGATTATCTTTTAAAGAAAACGAAACTGAAAAGATATTTTATGTTAGAGCTAATTGGAAAGTTGATCCTTTAAAAGGTCTATTAGGTCGTGATGAAAAAGTTATTTGTGAGTTAGCCGTAACTGACTGTAAATCATTTTGGACGCGAAATGGTATGTACCTTTCCTCAAGAGACGTGTAATAAGGAATTCGTTCATTAACGATACGTTTATAAATAGTTACCATAATAGATCTAAAAGGTACCAAACCGGATAGTATACGCGATACTCAGAAATTTTGTGAAGCTACACAAGCAGCTTTATCAGGACGCGATAAATATGAAAATCAAAAATTATCGTGTCAAATCACAGTTCATGAAAGTAACGCCAAGGTAAATAAAATGTATGACATGCTATCTCTCTCTTAACATTATTAATTTATAAATACTTTCATCGTCTTGATTAGTTCATATGGAAATGGTCAATGCAACAAACTGGAGCATCCGCAATGGTTAAAATTTCATTTAACATATATCTATATAACTTATCATCATGAATTCTCAATTTTTTTTAATTCGATTAAAAGATAGGCCTTACAATTCACACTTGGAAATATTTCACTATTTCCTGTTTCACAATTTGAAACCGTAAAGATGTGGCAAGAATGGACGGATTATTTTATTGAAGAAAGAAATCAACTCATAGTAAATAGATATTTCGATTTCATCGTATTTTTTTTTTTTTTTTTTTACATTTACGAATGTAACTCATTTATATTTATTTATAATAGAAAAGTAAAAATGTGTATGATATACGTGTTAATGATTTGGAGCAATTTAGAGATCAAATGCAAGAAAAGATTGAAGTTATGACTATTGAAAAGATACGTAATCAAGAATTGTTAATAGAAAAGGTGCAATATAGTAATAGTAATAATAATCATATTTATGATAATATGATTTAAAGTGATCGAATTTGAACATTTTCGAATTTTTATAGTTCAAGAAAGTTCTGAATACCAAGAAAAAGAAAGTGAAAAGGTTGATGAAAGTATTGAATGCGAAAGGCACGATAACCTTTTTATATATATATATTTTTTTTTAAAAAAAAAAAAAAAGTTATTAATCTAAAGGACCTTTTTTTAGGTTCCATCATGTCATCAACTTTTCAAGCAAATTTAAATAATCCCTCAGATGAATATTTAGATGAAAATGAGTTAGAAGAAGAGGAGTTTCATGAAAGTAAACCTGGCAGGAAAGATATTGCCCGTGGTAAATCTTCATCAAAATCTAGACCTTTTTCTATTGAAGTCTCTTCTCCTTCTAAAAAAGCCAAATTAGATGATGTGTCTGAGTCAAAGAGTACAATTGTAAGCGATTCGACAAACGAAGATCAAGAAGTAAAACAAAAACCCGAATCTGTTTTAACTAAAACTTTTCGTGGTCAAGTGATTAAATCAAGAAGGTAATAAAGGAACCGTTGTCGATTCAATACTTTAACTTTTTAATTTTAATTCGAATTAATAGGATGGGACGAAAACTTGCTTCAGGATCAAATGATTCATTAAACAATATTTTGATTCCTTCTGAAGAACATGAACCGTAAGTTATTTTTGTTTATTTTTTTTTTCTTTAGCATATAATATTAAGACTTTTTTTCTTTTTTTTAAAAAAAAAGTGATTCCTCTCAATCTTATAGCCCCGAGATCGAAGAATTGAATGAGACTGAATCAGCAGATGACTTATTAGCTCACATGTAAAAATTTAGATTGCCATAAATTTTATAATGATTAATGTGGCATTATTTAATATTAAATGATAGCTTTTATTCATACTCTTAATACTCAACTTTTGTTGAGAAACCGCTTCTGTTGCGATCACTTTGTATCCTTTATTTATCACACCGGATGGATTGAATCGGTTATTATATATCAATAGTTAATTACTATATAGCAAAACTCGGAGAAAAATTTCCGAGTAACATTTATCACAACTTTACATTTATTACATCTAAATACTTTAATAAATCTACAGCAACTGCATTAAGTAAAATATGTATATTAAAAAAGATGAAAATTATAAAAAATATAAAATAGAAATGATTATCTTTTTATCTAATTTCTTCAGCCTTGAGAGTAAGACGATTTGTAAATCGGCTGAGACAGGTAAGCATTTTATTGATTGTCTTCGAGTTAATTTTTCTATAATACGACGAGATATTCTAGTTCCATATTAAAAGGGGTATCAAAAAATAGTAGAATATTAAAATAAAATACCGAGAAATAATCGGAATATACAAAATCAACCAACCACAATTGGATAGAGAATACCAAGACCAACCAGTACGAACACCTGGATCAATGGCAACCATATTAAAATTTTTAGTGACTTGGATATCGTCACAAATTTCAATATTTTAACCTATTGTAAAAAATTAATAGCAGCTACATGTAAAGAAAACTTATAAATATCATATACCAAAACAAATATTCAATATCCCAATTTTTGTTAACTATCAATTTTGAATCCATCAAAACCTTCCTTTTGAATTTGGCCAATTATGATTTTTTTGACAATGTTCATAATGCAATATAAAAAGTAAGAGTAACCTTTATAAGATTTGTATTTGTTAATTTGATACTTTTTTTATTATGATAAATTAATAAAAAATAAAAAATTATATTATATCAGTTGTTAACCCATTGCTTCGCAACAGGGTTATATTGTTAATAAATCAGGTTTTAGATCATGTGATTTAAAAATGTCTTGCAAAAGTTGGAGAAGCATGCAAGCTCTTTTGATCTCTTTCATTAAGCTAAAACTTAGCACCACAATGGATACATATATGATCCATTCCTTCTAGATCATGACGAATGATCCTATTTACATGATTAATTTTTTGTTTTATAGCGATCTTGTTTCTCGCTACCAAACCTCTTTCGACGTTGTTTAGGAATTTCAGTCAGTTCCTGCATAGAAGTAATATGAGTATTTAAGCATATAATGTGACTCTTACGAAGAATCACAAAAAGACATAATGTAACATAACGTGATTTAAATGAGAGTTAAATATCATGTTCAGTAAATATGTTTCAAGGGTACGCAAAAGAGCAATTGTTAACATATTGCTTGTTCTGTAATTTATTGAATGAACAATATTAAGGGTAAATCATCATAACTGTGTCGCATGAACAGAATTCAAATATTTCTTTATTAATATTTTACAATTATTAAAGCTCTGAACGGTTCTGTTTGGTCCAAATTAGATGCCAATTCGTATCTGAACTGAAAATTTCAGTTCAGTTCAGTTCAGATTATTAATCTTAAAAATGCTAATCTGAATTTGAACTAAATCGCAGACTGGTAAAATCTAAACTGAACCAGAATTTTTAGATTAATCTAAAATTATAGTTTGATTATATAAGGAATCCGCAATTTATATGCGAAACTCTAGGAAAATCGCAAAAAATCGTAAATTTCTTTTTAAGGTTTGCAAAATTCAAAGAGAAATTGCAATTTTTTGCGACTCTCCAAGAATTTCATGATATTTTTTGCGAAATACTAAGAGAAATCGCAAAAATTGCGATTCTCTAAGGATTTCATGATTTTTTTGTAAAATTCAAAGAAAAATCGCAATTTTTTGTAACTCTACAAGAGTTTTGTAATAATTTTGCGAAATTCTAAGAGAAATCGCAAAAAAATTGCGATTCTTCAAGGTTTTTGCAATTTTTTTCGAAATTTGAAAAGAAATCGCAAAAATTGCAATTCTCTAAAAGTTTCGCTAAATTTTTGCAATCCTCTTAGAGAATTCACAAATTTTGCAATCCTTTAAGCAGTGATGTATATTTTTGATATCCCAGAGATTTGTTGTTTCAGCTATATGTTCTAACTTGTCTCACACTATGTCCCAAAGGTCCTATCTATCCAATCTATGTTCTATCAGCGTTCCATCAGTATCCCATCAATGTCCTATAACAACACTGCCTCTAAGAGTTTCATATATAATTGAACTAAACTTTCAGATTAATCCAAAATTATCAGTTCAGTTCAGATTTTTTTCAGTTCAGATTAGAATTATAATCTAAAAAAATCTGAACTGAATTGAAAATTTTCAGTTCAATTTTTAAATCTGAAACTAATCTAAACCAATCTGATCTGAAAAATCTTCAGATTAATCTGAACCATTTAGAGCTTTAACAATTATTAATAAGCATACATAATAAGAATACAATAATAATCATAAGAATACAATATATAACATAGGATAAGAAACAACATCATAAGAACATTCAGTGTATCATAATTTCAATTAATACGCTCTTTTGAGAGAAATGAAAACCTCTTTTATTTACATTCAAAGTTGTATTCTGGCAAAAAAAATATGCATCTTATCATCATAAATGATATAATATATACATTAAATCCATAAGTTTTCATCATTTCATCATTCCATAATAAATAAAATAATAAAATTTTCATCATTCAGAGATAAAGATTAAAATATATTTTACATCAGAAAAGTATAAATTCTAAATTCACATGATGATCAGCTAGTCAAATCAGAACATGTAGAAGACTGACTATAAATGAAATGGTTATTTATACAGTCAATCTAAAGGTCAACAATATACAGGAAACTGACTATAAACGGAATGATTACTTATACAGTCAATCTAAAGGTCAGCGATATGCAGGTATTTTTTTATAATATAAGATTACAGTATCTTAATATATTTATCAGATAAATTTTACCTTTTTTTTAAAAAAAAATGAAAATGCTTTAAGTTCATTATTTTGATAAATAATTTTTATTTTAAGTTTAAATTGCATAAATAATAGTATAATCAAGTATATTATATGAATAATCTTTTATAAATTTCTATTATAAGTATAAAAAATTTTAAATTTAAAAAGAAATTAAAACTAAAATTAATGATTTAATATATGATTATAATTGAAATTTATAATAATCATATTAAAAAACAAAATTTATATATTATATAATAGAAATTAAAATATTTAACATAACTTACCTATTATTTTAATAATATTTTTTGCACTAGTCAAAATAGTCCAAATCGGCTAAAAATCAGATAACTGATTTTAGGCTGATTTTGATATTATTTACAGCCGATTTGCCATATTTTCTGATTAGCACAAACAGGTGTTAATAGACGCCGATCGACCCCAATCGGACATGGCCATTTGAAACTTAAATTCAACCATAAATCAGCCTAAAACTGGCCTCAATTCGGCAACAATTCAGATGCTGATAGACACTGATCGACATGGCCATTCAGCCTAAAATTGACCTTAATTCAACATCATTCGGCATTAATTCGAAACTTAAATAACATAAATCAGCTTAAAATTAACCTCAATTCAGCATCATTCAGCATCAATTCAGAACTTAAATAACCATAAATCAGCCTAAAATTGATCTTAATTCAGCATCATTTGGCATCAATTTGGAATTTAAATAATCATAAATCAGCCTAAAATTAGCCTTAATTTGGTATCAATTCAGTCAAATAAGTATATAAAATCGATATATTATATTTATTAAATTTATAAAATATTATAATTTTATTAATAATAAAACCTAATATAATTCGCAAATATATAATATAAATATTACCAAAACTTACTGATTAATTTCCTTTCTAAAAAATATAAGTAAAAAATGGAAAAACTATGTAAAATAATAAAAATATAATACATTTTCCTCCTAAAATCCTCTTAAATCGTCCTAAATATTCATTATAGTAATATTGACATTTCGAAAAAAAAAGAAAAAAAAATCACAAAAATCACAAAAATTTAACTTAAATTTCGTCCAATTTTGATGGTTGAAGGCATATTTCTATTATAAAAAGCAAAAAAAAATCAGAAAATTTAACTTAATTTTCGTCTGATTGAAGGCATGTTTCTATTATAAAAAGTAAAAAAATCAGAAAAATTGACTAAAATTCAACTTAAGTTTCGTCTGATTTGATGGTTAAAGGCATGTTTCTATTATAAAAAATAAAAAAATCAGAAAAATTCAACTTAAGTTTCGTCTGATTTTGATGGTTGGAGGCATGTTTCCATTATAAAAAGTAAAAAAAATCAGAAAAATTCAACCTAAATTTTGTCTGATTTTGATTGTTGAAGGCGAAAATTGACTAAAATTCAACTTAGGTCTTTTTGTTCTTGAGGCGATTTTTTTTGGGATTTTGGTAGAATGTAAAAAGAAAAATTTGGAAATGATTGAAATTATTTTTTAAAAAATTAAAAAATTAAGTTTATTTATATAAATATTCCTATATATAGTACCAGAAAAAAACTCAAATAGTACATTAAATTAATATTATTTTAGCAAATTAGTTTAATCTGAAAGTTTGGTTTATTAGAACGATAATATTATCGTATCTTAGAAATGATAAAATCATCATCCCTAAGGAATGATAATACTATCATTCCTTAGATACGAAAAAATCATTATATCTAAGGAACAATAATATCATCATTTCTTAAGTACGATAAAAAATTGTTTCTTAGGAACGATAAATGCATCTTATCTGAAGAACAATAAAACTATCATCCTTAAGGAACGATAAACAATTGTTTCTAAAGAACAATAAAATCGTTGTACCTAAGAAATAATAATACCATTGTTTATAAGGGAACGATCATACCATCATCCCTAAGGAACGATAAAATCATCATCTCTAAGGAATGATAAAATCATCATTCCTTAGGTATAATAAACTATTATACC